ATCCCTTGGGGTTTGCCTTGAACTCCTCCTTTCTTCTTCAGATTTGATGGTTGTGATGAGTTCCTCCAATTTTGGCCCCTTTCTTCTAGCAGAGATGGAAGATATGAAAGTCTCCCATGAATTAAGAAGAGAATTCATTAAATGAATCACTTGCATAAATTCATTAGGCTTCATGCCTGTATCTTCCGAATCTGCAAACTTGGTACCTTCTACCATTTTTAAATCATTGTACCTTCTCATAGCCATAGTTTGCTTCATGAGAGAGGGTTCAGCAGACTCTCTTTCAAGTTCATCAAAAATCTCACTTGCAGTATAGATTGACTCGTACTCAGAAGCATATGAGTCAGTCATGGCACATAAAAGGATGTGTTTGCATCTCAAGTTCCTCCTCTTCCAGTTGGCGGACTCATCTTTTATTATTTGAGATGAGTCAACAGTTGAACGATGAGGTTGGTCCTCAAAGAGTACCTCATGCAAGTTTTCTTCATAGAGCACAAATTTGATTTTTTTTTCCATGAAGCAAAGTTGGTCCCATCAAACCTTTCGATTTTCAAGATCTTAGAGATGAAGGTACGAGCAACCATTATATTTATATTCTCAAGCAAAAATAAGAAAAGACTCCTAATGGCAATCAAGTAAAACTTGCTCTGATACGAATGAAAGAAAGACCTATGTAATATTTTGCCAGAGAAATACAATTTTTTTTTTTTGATAATAATAATCACCCCTTATAATTTTGGCAACAAGATCACTCACAGATTGTCTTATTACAAACAATAGAAATTCCAAAAATAAATAACACATCAATAAAATAAATCTGAACTACTTGATGCCATTCATACAATCTAATACTTTGCTTGAGAATATAAAATAAAAGAACAAACAATTAAAAGAAAAGATGCCGAATATTACCTCAACCGCGCTTTTTACACCCCACATTGAGTCACCACATCCAATGGCACGAGATCAGCAGTATAGCTTCAATCTCGAACCGGGAAAGCTAATTTCGGCCAAACTAGGTAACCACCCCTAAATCTCTAAAAACCCTAACTCCAAAGTAATTAGGCTCAAACCCTAATTTTTTCAACCCTTAGATTAGATCATACGAGAGAGAGAGTCTCTATGTTGGGGTGTGCCCCCTAGGGTCTTTTTAGGAGAGAGACAGTAGAGAGAGAAAATCAGAGAGTAGAGAGAGGGGCATGGCCTCTAGGGAAGAGAGAGAGGTGTATAAAGATGGGGGAGAGCACCCCTATTTATAATGAAATTTAGGTCTAGGGTTTCTTTAGGATTTCCCATAGTTTGCCTCTTTCTTGAGATTGAATATGAACCATTGATCAAGGTGACTTGTGGGGTGAGATATCTGAGCCATCCATTCTATAGATGGGCCATCAACATTATGGAAGGTGCATGAACCATTATCCTCCTTTCCTTAAACCATTTTCCATCAATATATTTAAATAAAGTAAATCCATTATAAATATAGTGCATACCATAAATTGCATATTCCATCTCATATTTTCCATAAGAATATTTCAATAATATCAAGTCAACATATTCCTTCAAGATAAGATATGGTCAATATTGCCTAATCAATATTTAACCATAAGCTACAAGTTATAGTTACCATATTTAATAAACTTGAAGACAAAGCAACAAGAGAAGGTATCCAAGGGTGGGGCGTGCCACACATATATGGTATGTGGGGCCCCACTTAATACCCACATGGTGGGCCCATGTGTACTATGGGCCCCCATGTATTTTTTTAATAAATATTTTAAATTTAAACAAAATGAATTTTAAAACATTATAACTTTGTAAATTAATAACTTCATTTGTATAAGTTCAAAAATAAGAAATAAAATATCAAATGACTTATAAAAATTCAAATAATAAATCTAAAATAATTTAATAATAAAATGAATACAATTAAATTAATATGATGGGAAGTGGATGCATATGGTTCAGGAATTCAATCAACGATCACGGGATACTCCACCTTCAATTGTGGACTACAGACCACACTTGCTTTATCGAACCGATCCAGTGTTTCCTATGACCCACAATCCAAGCAAGGGCTCATTAGCGGGTCACCAAAATATAGTCGATAAGCCAAGGGGTCGCAATCCTAGTCTGTGGATTACAGGTCCTCCCCTGGAGACAAGTCAAGGTCACCACGACCTGACGCCACCACAGCTCTATAGCGCATAGGGGTATCTCTCGCACATGCATATGCTTCACCCAAAGGTGGATATCTAGCTTTCCCGAACGATCTATCTATATGCATGCCGTGTGATGGAACATGGATGAAGTTTTGGCCCCCGTCTCTGTAGGTCTACCATCACACACAAGGATCACACAGTCCCTCGACTCACTCATCTAGGCAAAAGCTCCGACCTCATCAAGGGCTAACCCAAAAACCTTTATCGGTTTATTTTTTATGCCCAGGTACTTTGGGTTTTCCAACCAACTGGCCTAGATCGTCAAGCACAATCCGGTATCCGCAAATATCATTTGCCTAGTATGATCTTCGAGGGACCACACTCCCACTGAGTTTATGTTCCACTATAATAAATGTTTTTCATTATACACTCATAAGGTCTTTAAAAGCCACATAAACCCAATATAAAGGTCTACAAAAAAAAAAGACTAGCAGTAAAATAGGTTGTTTTGAAACACCATTATTTAGCAAAAAGCTAACACCCTTGTCCTTTTAAAGCCTTCCAATTTAACCAAATCGTACCTCATCCAGTGTTATATTAGACCTACGCTGCACATAGCCAACCAACCTAAGTATACTTTCTATTGAAGCCACACCTAAGTTCCCTCATATGTATTCATTCTGAATTCTATCTTTTCTTGTCTTGTCACTCATCTATCTGAATATCCTCATCTCAGCTACATTCATCCTATCGATATGTTATTTCTTCACACCCAACATTCCATCTCATAAAGCATGCATGGTCTTAAAGCCATCGTTTGGAATTTCCCCTTCGGACGCAAATGTATGTGGCAATCACATAAAGCTCTAGATGCATATCTCCCCTTCGCCCACCCAGTTCTAAGTCTATAGGCGGCACTTTCCTCAATCTCTCCAATGTGACGGCCCCCAAACCACATATGGGGATCAAGTTTGGATATAGTTGATTGAAGCTCTTGAAATTTTGGATAAACCATAAATCTGAAATAAAAGTCTCGCAAATTCAAGATTCCTAGTGCTTTTTGTGAGAAACATGCCTATGATCCAATGATGAACCAAAAATAGGCTTAGAGAACAATTTTCAAAGATTAAACCAACCATTGTGAAAGATCATGACTTTTCCAATTCAGCCAAAACTTGGGTCAGAATGTTTGATCTCTTAAATCTATAAGATATAAAACTTTTCTCAAAATCACACCGCTAATTGATAGATCATGCAATGAGCAGTTTAGGGTCAAAATATAGGGTTAATATGTTGATTCTATGAAGAAAAATGAAGGAAGAAGGGGGTTACATTTCCCACCCCTTTATATTCCTGCAATTTCATTGAACTTGGCAAGAATTTTGAATGACTTGGTGAGTCATTCAAAAGGTCACCAAGTTTTACAGTGCTTAGGCGAGTTGCCACAACAGCATATGTATTATCCCCCAAGTTGGGGGATTTACAAGCTGTACAAGTGGCCAAGTGCCAAGCTGGAGCAACTCAGGTCAATCAAAGTGGACTCACTGGAGTTTACTAACTTCGCTAACCGCAATGATACATGGAGGAAAATATCATCCACATCCATAGAAGACTTACAAGCATATATTGCATTGCAATAGAAAATAATGCTCGTCAACAAGAGACAAATTGTATGCATCAGAGATAAGCAGTGCTCCCAATAACGGAGGCATACCTGTCAAATCATGAAGAAATGGAGCCATTTAGATAATTCAAACTCTCTGACCTCTTCAAGCTGAAATTCAAGTAGAAGAATAGACTTAAGGATGCAGGCTACCTCATGCTATTAAGCAAGATTAAAAGGTCTATTAGAACCTCATGCCATTAATCAAGATTAAAAGGCCTATTAGAAAGTTCAATACATTCAGCTACAAATTGGCACAGTAGATAATATGCAGGAACACAACAAAGGTTATCAGATAATACACCAGGCTTACTTTCAAAGCCATAGACCTTCCTCAATGGAAATTTGTAGGTTTACATCTACATGGTTGTTGCTTATGAAGAAACGAAGAAGAAAGAAGAATAAAAAACATAGGGAAAGTAGACTAATCCAATGGACTAGTAATTCAGAGGGGCACTAACCGCCCCTTTCCGATGACCAAGTGATGGAGGTCAATTTTACCTGGGAATGCCCTAGTGAGCTCCGCTATGCTAATCTCCAGTGTCCATCAAAGGAACAGACTGGATGGATATATACTCCCTTGGATTATAGCATTTCAACCCAAATGCAAATGAACCGACCCATGCACATATTCCTATTCATGTATATGTACATAAATTATTTACAGAATCAATTGGGCTCAAATGTTGTGCATACTACTGCAGTTGTCAAAACTTTCCTCAATCATGGTATTCCTCTGCCCTTTTCTGGAGAGAATTTTGGAAGAATGATGATGGCTAGAAGTCCACCAGCAAATGCTGAAACTGCTGCAACAAAAAAGGCGGGCGAATTCCCACTTCCAAAAAGCTGATCCCATGGTCCACTCCCAAGGGACACTACCACCTGGTCCCATACAACAAACTACATAAGCTTGCAGCCATTATATTGGTGATTATTCAGTTCATGGTGAGCTTAGCAATGAGTACCATGAGATAAAACAGTTAAGCCATGCATATCAATCAAAGCAATTACAAGGTAAAAATTATGGAGAATATATGTTTTATAGAGCACACATTAAGCAAAGAGGCAAGCATTGATTATACATCCTACATTTTGCTGATTAGTACAAAAGTTCAGATTTCTGGTAGGGCAATTGGTTCCCTATTCAGATTTAATCCAAAGACAAAAGGTAAAGACATTTTAAGAACTTCAGCACACAGGAAAACACAATGTTGATGAAGATTTCCTTTTTTAATAGGTAATATTAACTTGGATATCATTATAAAAAAATATTAACTTGGATATCAACCATCCAAAAAAGAATTATTTCTTCAGATATTAGTAAAGTTCAGAATTTTTAACCTGCCTATGAGTTAGCAAGCAAGAACTGCAATAGCTGACAGCTAATTAGCTTAAACATCATCATCGAATATGAAAGAGCACCATACATATGTAACATAAAAGAAAAACGAAAGAATTACCTGAGGAATTACAATAGATAGATTCAACACTCCCATGGACAATCCTACATTGCAATAGAAGAGCAATCATTTAGAATATCAGCAGCTGTCTTAGGATCCAACAGAGAAAGAAATAACAGAGACAGAGAAAGAGTAACCTTGTCCCATTCCCAAGGACTCTGTGTATGAGGCGGCCAATGCATAAGGAACACTGTAAGTAACCTGCAATGAAACAACAAGAACAAAAGTGAGAAAAACAATCAACTATGAAACCCCACAATTCAATTGAAAAGGAACAACAGCACATACAGCCAAAGGTACGCCAAGCAATGCAAAGACTACTAATGCTGCAATGACAATGCCATCTGAAGGAAGTTCAGATTGCTCGAGCTCCATTTTCTCGGACACAAATGCTATTATCAGCATCGAGATGAAGCAGAGGGACATAAGGATATTTGAAAATCCCCATACAAAACCAGCACCTAATTTCCTACAAAGTGGTTCAATCACAGCCGAAGTTATCCCAATAACTACAGAGTTAAGAAGTAAACCAAATGCTCCCATACGAACACCATCATGATAAATCTGCCCTCTCTCCCTTGATGATGGATCCCCATGATAAACCTCACGGCCCATCCAATCAGTGTCAAAGAGAAGAAAAGGAAACCATGCTATCCATGTCAACCCATTCACAACTAGAAGCAACCGCATCGGCCTCGAAAGGAATCGCAATGACCAAAATAATTCCCATAAAAAGGGTTCTTGGGCACCCTCTCCTGGCTCCAATGGTCCATCTCCAGCTACCTCATGGTAGGGTGATTGATTGGAACCAAGAGGCATCTCCTGGGCAGCTGTTATGCTCAGGCATGTAGTGACGGCCAGAAGTATGATCCCCAGAATGAAAGCAGATTTAAGATTGGCACAGTTCGAATTGCATGCAGAGGTGAGAGAAAAGGGAAAGATTTTGAACCAGCCACTGTATGATCCTGTAGCAAAGCCAAGGATGTTGCCCACTGCCATGAATAGGGAGAAGTATGCATGAGCTCGACGTAGTCTTCTTTGGTCCTTCCCTGAGACAACAAGATTTTTAGTGTACATCCTGCATTGGCATATAATATGATGGCTGATCATTTAGTTTTTTCTAACTTAAAGATTTTCCATTCAAGGCAATTGTGTAGGATCTGGATTAGGTCCAAACTACAGGAAAAAATAACCAGACAAGTGCGATAACATCGAAATCATAGTCCACTTCTCCACACATGCAACTGGAAAAAAGGATCATATTTGCTTCATTTTTTAAGGGGCCATCACTTGGTGTGACGGTAAAAGGCTCAGGTAGCCAGCACAAGAGCGTGGGTTCGAGTCCTAAGAGCGGTCACTTGTGAATAAAAAGCCAAAGGTTAGGACCGTTTCCAGCTCACCCCTCCTGGGACCCTACGTAGACAGGACCAGGACCGGGTTACGGCCCTTTTTTTATTTGCTTCATTTTCTAACTTATCCACTAATAGATATGATTCAATAAGCATCTAAGGCAATTAAGAAAAAACACATTATTCAAGATTCTTATAGGAAAAATCATCCAGGTTGAATTTACATTGTATACCAGGAGACCAAAGAAAATCATTCCCTTTTTCCATGATTTAATCCATAAGATCATATGCAGTCAGGGCTTCAAAAACAGTCCTCGCAGGTGTGGTTGTGAATGAGTCAACAAATGCCGGAACATGTAATTTACTAAGTGATTGGTGGTTCTTTTCACACCCATGCATCCACGGTTCCCACAGACAATATTTTTATAGAGCATGTGGGTGGTGGCAGCTGCACTCTAGGTGCACATTATGCAGTGATATTATAGAAATAACATATTTATAGACAAATATATGAAGTACATTACATAATAATTGTCTCTTTCAATTGGGGAAATTCTTTGTTTTCCTAAATCTAAATATTTTGAGCAAGGACTGGGGATGAAAATTTGAAATGACCAAATAATCGACATATCTTCAACTTGAGGCCACTTCGAACCTCTGCTTTCACAGGGTTAAAATCATGCTGTAAAAAGGAATAACATACATTGCAAAATAGAAATGTCGGAAGCCCACCACAAAGGGTATATATCCTGGTTAAATGAAAAAAAAAAAAACTCTCTCTGGATATGCATTGAGGACAGACACTTAAAGTGCAACGAAAATGGAACAGTGCCAACAAAAAGAGAGCAACATTGTTTTATTTCAGTTTCTGAGGATATTAAACAAGACAGGACCATGAGGTTTGTTTATAAGAGAAACTACTAGAACCACAATATGATGAGGTCTCCTATAAAAGAGCCAAAACTAAATTGAAGAGCCATTTCATTAGAACATAATGCAAAATAAAAAATGTTAACGAGGTGAGCTGGCATCGTATCAACCCCAACAATCCATGGGGTCAAAGATCTGCAGCCTTTCCACTAAGCCAATGGGCACCATTAGGTAGCAATAAACACTATCATTAAGGACTTGAAACGATAAGGTGTCTCCTAGAAATTCCTAGACATGAAGAGGCATTATAGCCATGCAAATTGACTATCTGGGTTAAAGCTCAAACTCATTCAAGGGGCGAATTATATCCAAACTTATCTTAAATTCCATATATCTATATTTATCCAATGTAGTCAGGATATAATTAGCTGAATATTTCTTCACTACGATAATTGGCTAGATACTTGTTCACCATCATTGCTTGTCCAAAATGAATAGAACAGGACCACATGCATACCAGGAACAAGCAGACTACCACCATTTAAATTTCTCAAGGAAAAGATCTACAAATTCTGCAAGTGTATAATAAATTTATTTCTACGTTTATGATTTACTGCACAAGCATAATTAAAAAGAAGAGATCTATTATTCTTTCTACTTTTGTGATTTACTGCACAAGCATAATTAAAAAGAAGAGATCTGTTAAATCATATTTTCTGCGCATAATTGTACAAATAATTTCCCCCATGTATACCAAGTAAAATCTAACTCCAAGTGGCTAGAATTTGAATCCAAAGGTACATATCAAGTCAATCTTTGAAAATGTGAATACTATTCCAAGAGAGCAATCAGAGTAAACTTAGGTAATTTCTTCCAAGAACAAAACATGCACTTTATCGTATATAATTGACATCCAGGTAAGGCAGAAGAGCAGCAGTACCTGAAGACAGTTCTTGATTAAATAAGAGTCATCATGCAAAGCAGTTCAGAACTAGACTTGTTCGAACTTACGGAAAAGAAAATGAAACTACCCTTAGTTGCACCAAAGTGCCAACCATGAACGGCATGCTTTCTTTGAATCATGCAAAGCCACCTCCAATATCTCTTCTCAACCAAGAGATTCTGAATATAACAAAGTGAGTAATGCCCATTCTGAAATCGACTAACAACGATAAATAGTATGCAAACCAAGATTTCTAAATCGTATTTGCTAACAGTTCAACCACATATATTTGGAAACAACTCCAGCATTTATGGTGCGAAATCTAGCTACATAGACAACTTCTCAGTTCTTTATCATGCAAAAGGCCTTTTGCTATGGAAGGTGCATCAGATAGATGAATTCAACTAATTGAGAGAGAATGTCACATTACAATAAGTGAAGTCCTCCACAAATCCTTAAGATCAAATATTATGTTGACATGAATTCGGAATGTTGAATATCCATGTATCAAGAAAGGGGATAAGAAACGATCAAATATAGTAAAATAGTTAACATGTTACACTACATCTTTCTGATATACCCCAGCAAGAGAAAGCATGGTTGCAATATGGAGCTACGAATACCACAAGATGCACATCCTAACCTCCATGCTTAACATTTTTTATGCACAAGGGATTGTCCTCTGTTAAACAATCATAGTGCACATACGGTGTATTTTTCGTATTTAAACTTTTATAATTTAAATATGGACATAGCAGTAAACTGCTTCAGAAAAAGAATGTCGAATAGACAGGTATTGCTAAGAGGTCTTCTTTGAAGCGACATCATTTTATATTGATAGGATAGCTCATGTTTACAACCCGCTTATTTGTAGTATTTTTAAGTTTTGCAAAGCAATGTTATTAAGAACAAATTAGAGCTTGAACCGGTTGGAGCACCGGTTCGGTTGGACCAATTAAACTGAACTAGTTTACCAGTCAGACAGGTCATTTAACAAAATAAAAAGGAAAATACAAATATATTAAAAAGTTGATAAAAACAACAAGAAAAAGAAAAAACCTGAAAACTCTAGAAAATAAGTAAAATTGAGAAAATTATTAGGAACCAGTGTTATAAGATTGATCTAAAGTAATATGAAAAAAAAACTATAAAAAAACAAAAACTAGGTCGAAATCGGTTACACCCATAGGTTCACACTGGTTTGACCAAACTGAACCGGCCAGTTCAGACCAGTTGAATGCCCACCCCAGCTCAAAACCCTAGAACCAACAGACCCTGGGGCACCAATTATGTTTGTTCCAATCTTAACAGCAATGTTGCAAAGCAATGTTTTCAAGATCTTACTGGAGGCTGAACCGGTGGGGACCGGATACTAATCAAATTAGACCCGTTCACTGCTCATACTAATCAAAAATTTAAAAGTTCAGAAAATTTTAGAAAAAATAGAGATAATAGGGAAAAAAACATTATAAAATCTAAAAAAACAGAAAAACATTCACAAAATTACTAGTAACCCGTGTTATAAGAACAAGAAACTAAAATCACCATCATCATTATCATGATCATCATCACCACCATCATGTATCTGATCTCAAATAGTTGGGATAAGGCTCAGATGATGATGATGATGATCATCATCATCATCATCATCTGAGCCTTTTCCCAACTATTTGGGGTCAGATACATGAATCTTGTTCTTCCATGCCACTCTATCAAGGACCATACCCTCAGTCAAACCATGGTCACCATTTTTTTTTTTTTACTACTTCCATCCATGTCCTCTCAGACCTTCTTCTTGCCTTTTTAGAGCTTTTCACTTGAATCAAATCAACCTTCCGAACCAATGTTGTTATAGGTCGGCATTACACATGACAAGACCACCTAACTCTACTTTATCTCATTTTATCGCCTATTAGAGCTACCTCTAAGTTCCCTTTAATGTATTTATTCCAAATTCTATCCTTCTTTGTCTTGCTACTCATCCATATCAACATCTTCATCTAAGCTACACTCATTCTATTGATATAATGTTTCTTGAGTTCCCAACATTGTGTCCCCTAAAGCATTGTTGGTCGTACAGTTGTCTTACAGAACTTCCACTTTGGTATGTGATCATTTCATTGGTATGAGATGATCACATAAGACTCCAGAAGTACATCTCCATTTCGTCAGTGCAGCTCTAATTCTACGAGAAACAACTTCCTCATTCTCTCCTTTCTCATAGATTATTGACCCAATATATCGAAAATAATCTCTTTTAGATATTTATTGGCCATCAATCTTAACCAATTCTTCGTTTATGCTCCTATTATTACCAAACTTGTATTTCATATATTCTGTCCCAGTCTGGCTAATTTTAAAGCCTTTAGACTCTAAAGCATCTCTCCAAAGTTCTAAACTTTGCATTTATGTCATCTCTAGTCTCATCAATCAAAACTATATCATCCGCAAACAACATACACCATGGGACCTCATCCTGTGGATGCCTAATTAAGTCATCCACAAACAAAGCAAAGAGACATGGGTTCAACGTTGACCCTTGTTGTAGGCCTACTATCACTGAAAACTCACTTCTCTCCACTAGTTGTCTTCACATTAGTTAGCGCTCCCTCGTACATATCCCTAACCATGTCAATATATCTCTCTAGGTACCCTATCGTATGCTTTCTCTAAATCAATAAATACCATATGGAAGTCTTTGCTCTTGTACTTCTCAATCAATTGCGTATGTAGGATAAAGGAACTAAAATATAAAGGAAATTAAAAATCTGGTCAAAACCAGCCGGAATCAGCCAGTCACACCAGTTCGACCGGACTGAATTGACCGATTTTGACTAGTTCAAATAGGTTTTGTCCAGTTTGATGCCGACCCCAATTCGGGACACTTGAACCAACCGATTGCAGCACTGGTTCACCAGTTTCTAGTTCGAACCTGCAGGTACAATCGAGTATTAATAACATTGTTGCAAAGGCATTTTGTTGGGGAAAAATACATATACCTCCCTCTCTACATTTGTAATCCCAAATAATCCCCAGGTCAATAGAAAGCCCATGGACTCCCTCCCAGTTAAAATAAAATGACATATACCCCCTTCCTTAGCTTTTTCATTGTCTAAATTACAATATTTTTTTCTAATAACCTCAACATATAAATGGAATTGGAGATGACTCTTTTAACCTACTTGTAAGGTTCACAAGATGAGACAGAGAGATGGGGATTCAAGGGAAGTTATGAGAGAGAGAGAGAGGTAGAAGTTCACAAGTGAGGAAGAGAGAGAATGAGAGGGGGAGCGTTTCTAAGGTTTGGATGAGGTCATGAGAAAAAATAAAAAGGATAAATATTGTAATTTGGCAATGAAAGGTGCAAAAGGGGCTAAACATCCTTGGAGGGTGTCCATGGGATCATTATGGACCTAAGGGTCTATTTTAGGATTATAATTTACAAAGAGGGGCTACACCTCTTTTTCCCTTTTTTTTTTTTTTTGCTGAGTTACAGTTTTGCAAAGGTAGCTTCATCATATTTACAATACACATATATAGAAATGTAGATTGATCAGAATTCAATTGTGCAGATCCTTTCCTTCTGTTGTTTCTACAATTAAAGAAGATTCCTTCTTATTACAATGCATTATGATATAAAGGGGGGTATCAATGAACTGTTATGGTTGTTCTCTGGGTCTTTGAACCATGTAGAAAGGGAAACATAACAAGGTCAGCAGTAATCAGTTCTCACTGGTTAAATGGCATTTGCTCTTGGACATCCATAGGTTTTATTATAAAAGGTTTGTCAAATTTTTCTAATATTGAAGATATTTTTACCAAATAATTAAGGAAATTCAAGTGTGAACTAAAATCTTAAACCATTTAATTCATATGGCAGTGCTTTCCAAAATTCAGTTTCATCCCCAGTACCATACCCATATTGGAATGTAAACTGAACTTGGCATAAAAGACATATCTATGAATCTATGAGAGAGAGAGAGAGAGAGAGTTGCAAGAAGGGGAGAAAGCCGAGGACTTTTGCCTCAATGGTATTCCGGAAAATATTGAGGTGTTCTCACCATTTTCCATAAAATTTTAGGTGTCCATGGATACCTCAAAAGGCCAGGAGGGGGGGAAGAGAGAGAGAGAGAGATCACAGCAGTGTCAAGACCATCTCGTATCAATTCTACAGAGAGCCCACACACAGAGAAACACATGCAGAGTGATAGAGAGACAGTGATCACAGCAATGTCGAGGGCATCTCATATCAATTTTCCAGAAAGCATGTGCCCACACACACATAGACATGTGGAGAGGGAGAGAGAGAGATCACAGTAGTGTCAAGGCCATCTCGTATAAATTTTACATAGAGCGCCAACAAACACTGCCATACATGCAGAGAGATAGAGAGAGAAAGAGATGATCACAGCATATTCAAGGGCATCTCATATCAATTTTTCAGAGAGTAAATGCCCACACACAGACACGCACGCAGAGAGAGAGAGAGGGGTATGGGACGTGGGCAGTTAGTATAATTTCAAATCAGTTTCCCAGCGTATCAAAAGGCAATGAGAAAGACATCATACATCAGAGTCAAGGGACATGCCAGTCAACCCAACCACCCATATAGAAAGAGCACAGCCACCACAACCATTTTTCCTTTTCTGAAAGCAAATATAAACAACAAAAAATGGCTCCCTACATGAATAGACAGAGACACAGAGAGATAAAATCAAACATAGCTAGATAAAGTATATATAGCAACAGAATGGAAGAGAGAGAATAGAAATCGCTGTTAAAGAATACAGAGAGAGAATAGAAATCGCTGTTAAAGAATACAGAGAGAATATAGAAATCGCTGTTAAAGAATACAGAGAGAGAATAGAAATCGCTGTTAAAGAATACAGAGAGAGAATAACAAGAGATAGAGAGAAATGAAAGCGATCAAGGCATACCAGCTAAATCAGCGAGAAGAGCCCTGCAAGGCCCCTGCACAGTATTATTCGCAACATCGAGCACCCAAAACCCTAGCACAAACACCACGATAGCTCTAGGCCTCTTATCACGATGATCACCAAGCAATCCACCAATATCAGCCGAATGCCCTATCAAAATCATAGCAAAAGCAATCAACAAAGCTCCAAAACCAATGAAAGGTCGCCTCCTTCCCCATTTACTCTTACACCGATCACTCATATAACCAACAATTGGCTGGACCACCAAACCAGAGAGAGGGCCGCAAAGCCATATGAGACTGGAGAATGCATGAGAGATTCCAAGCTCCTGAACATAAGGGGTCAGGAGGGAGAGTTGCAGAGCCCAACCAAACTGGATTCCACAGGCAACTGAAGCCACCCTGAAGAGCTTCTTTAACGGCGTCCGACCCCTTCCGCGATGGCGTTTTAGGACTTCATCTTGGAGGGTGGTGGCGGCCATGGGTTCATGGTCAGCTGCCGAGGAAGTGATAGTCATTGAATACAGGTTCAGGTCTCTTCTCCTTCTGGCAAGTTACGGAGAGAGAGAGAGAGAGAGAGAGAGAGAGAGAATGGT